AAATATATTCTGCATTCTTTGTATCTGGTATCGATAGCAATGATTCCTAAAATCGTGCCACAATGTAAGGTGCTGTAAAATATTATAAATAGTGGAAATATATCTTTCTCTCCTCACCTCGAGAGAAACTTTCATTGATTCTGGTTCTATAAACGTTTTTATGGTATCAGAGCTTTTCGGTGAGGGGAACCAAAATACCATACAACATGTCCTCAGCTCCTACCCAACAAACAACATCTTCAAAAAACTACCCATATCCGGCCACACTAAATGTAGCCAATTTTGTTTCTCTCCAACTCACCTCAGACAATTACCTACTCTGGAGAACCCAAATGATGGCTTTAATTGAAAGTCAGGAACTATTGGGTTTTATTGATGGCGAGTATGAAATGCCTGATCCAAAGGTACTTACCAATGAGAAGGAAGTACCAAATCCAACTTATGTAGCTTGGAGACGATCTGATCGTCCTCTTCGTGGGTGGATCACTGGCACCTTATCAAAAGAGGTACTTGGAATTGCTATTGGACTCAAGACTTCATCAGAAGTTTGGAAGGCATTGGAGGATCACTTTGTTCAAAGCTCTCAAGAAAGAGAATTTCACTTAATGCAGGAGATCTCAAGTATCCAAAAGGGTGATGACACTCTAAGTGAGTACATCAGAAGATTCAAAGCTCTTTGCGATGAACTCTCCACAAATGGTAAGATCATTCCAGATAAAAACAAAGTTTTTTGGTTTTTGCAAGGGTTAGGACCAAGCTATGAAAATTTTGTCACAACCATGCTGAAACCACATGTTCCATCATACAAAGAACTGATCCCTCTTGTAAAAAGCCATGATTCTCGTAACCATCATCATAATTCTTTACCTCCACAAATGGCCTTCCTTACCCAAAAGCCTGAACTAAGAAATTATTACAAAAAGAAAGGAAATGCTCAAAGTTGGTTCAACTCTAAAGGGAAAGGTTTTATTCAAGCTAGAACTAACAATAAGCCAAGAGCTAGTTTTAAGTTGAATGCAGGAAATTTGGAAAGCAATGAAACTAAAGCTACTGCAAGTAAATCTGCTGTGGTTTGTCAAATCTGCAATAAGCATGGCCATGTTGCTCTCAAGTGTTTCAATTGCTTCAACGATGCATTTCAAGCAGATGACATCCCTCAAGCCTTGGCTGCAATGACTATCAATCAAAGTGATGTTGCTGAGTGGTATCCATATACTAGGGCAAAAGCTCACATGACTAGCAACTCCGATAAGCTTATAAATCTAAAACCTTATAAAGGAAATGATGGTGTAATGGTAAGGCATGGTGAGACATTAAATATAACACATATTGGTGATTTTCATATAAATTGTGGTGAACATACTATTACTCTTAAAAATGTGCTTCTAGTTCCTCATATAAAAAAGGATTTACTCTCTGTTAGCCAACTCACTCATGATCTACCATGTATTTTTGAATTTGATGCTAATGGATTTGTTATCAGGGACAAATACTCAAAAGGAATAATAGCCAAAGGCGCAAGGAGAGGAGGACTATATGCACTAAATGGTGGATATACAGCACTCTTCTCAACTTGTTTTAAGAGGACCAATAAAGAGGGATGGCACCAAAGATTGGGGCACCCTCAATATCGTATTGTCGATTTCCTTTTTCAAAATAAATTTATTGATTTTGATTCTATTAGAGATTCAAATGAAATCTGTGATAGCTGTCAAATGGGAAAAACATGTAGACTTCCTTTTCTTAAATCAAATGACATATATGATGAACCTTTTCAAAAAATTAGCTGTGATCTTTGGGGACCAACACCTTTCAAGTCTAGTGAAGGTTTTGTTACTATGCTATCTTTGTCGATAGCTATACACGATTCTCTTAGTTTTATCCTATGAAGAAAAAATCTGATTTTTTTGAATGTTTCAATCATTTCTATAAATATATTAATTGTCAATTTGGTTAAAGAATAAAAATCCTCTAGACGGATGAAGGAGGAGAATTTTCTAGTACCAGCCTTTCACAATTATTAGCTAATTTAGGAATTCGTCATCAATCTGCTTGTCCTAAGACACTAGAACAAAATAGCTTAGCTGAACGCAAACATACGAATATACCGGAATTAGGCCTAACCATGATGTTTCAAGCTAAGTTGCCAGCAAAATTTTGGGTTGACTCATTTTCTACTGCTGTTTTTTTTAATAAACAGGTTGCCATCACCAAGTCTTAACATGGACTCCCCATTCTTTAAGCTATATGGGAAGCATCCAGACTACTCTTCATTGTGTGTCCTAGGATGCAAATGTTTCCCATATCTTGGAGACTATAGAAGAACTAAATTTGATCCAAAATCAATTCCTTGTGTTTTTATGGGATATAGTATAAAGCACAAAGGGTACAAGTGCTTCTCACCATCAACAAGGAGGATATATGTTTCAAGACATGTAGTTTTTGATGAAATGTGTTTCCCTTTTGTAGATCCAAACACTTTATATGGCAAGAAATTGGTTGGAGGAGAAATTACAAATTTTAATGAGTGGTTTGACTCTACAGATACTAACATGACTCCTACTTCCCTTGCAGAAAATACAAATTCTATGGAAATTATAAGATCTAATGCTCACATGAGTTCTGCAATAGAACAAAGTGTCACCACTCTTGATTCTTCTTCGACCATTGATAATGTCGATCAGCAAACATTAAAGCAAGCCTATGCAGCACCATGTACTGTTGATGCTATACAGCAAGAAACTAATGAAACAAGCCATGGGTCTTTAGCTCAAAATACAAGCCCAGTAGGACAAAATCAAAGCACACACCCTCACCACATGATTACAAGGTCTCAAAAAGGAATTTACAAGCTGAATCCAAAGTACACCGCTCTTTATGTTGAAACTGAGCCTTCCAGCATTCCAAGTGAACCAAAATCTGTTAAAACAGCCTTGAAGCATGCTGGTTGGACAAAGGCTATGCATGAAGAGTTAGTTGCCTTAAAAGACAATCATACTTGGGATCTAGTACCTCGCACAAAAGACATGAATGTTATAGGGTGTAAATGGGTGTTTAAGTCAAAGCTACGGGCTGATGGGAATCTTGACCGATTAAAAGCTCGTTTGGTCGCAAAAGGTTTTCACCAGGTTGATGGTATAGACTTCTCTGAAACCTTTTCTCCAGTTGTGAAGCTTAGTACCATCCGAACAGTACTCACTATTGCAACAGTACAAAATTGGAATATTTGTCAACTAGATGTTAAAAATGCATTTCTGCATGGCAACCTCTCTATAATATCCCAAAATTTGGTGATATTTTAGCATTAAGTTAGGGACTTATTTGAGGAAAACTATTATTTCGGGGCTTACTAGTCAAATTTTCAAAAGTCGAGGGACTAAAAAGAAAGGAAATTAGGATAAGGATCAGGCTCATTTATTTCCTTTTTACCCAGTCACACGCGGGTCTCCAGTTCTTCTTCCCCGATGCTCTGTCGCCCGACCAGCCTTCCCCCTTCTAGTCGCCGACTCCTCTTTGAAAAATTGGTAACAAAACTTGAAATTTCTTCTTCTTTTCTTGTTAAATCACAAGATTTGGGGCTTAGAATCTTCCCTCTCAACCCAGAAAAATCCCAGATTTGCTCTGTTCTTCCCCTTGCTGTCCGTTGGCTTCTGCTATATGTGATTTCTGGGCATTTTTCGGTAAGCCACAGCCATAAACTTCACCTTTTCAGCTTGAATTGGCTTGGGTTTACCTTAATTTCTCTTGGTTCTCCAATTTTGGGTTAATTCCGTGAGTTCCCCTGCAGATGCCGTCGGCTTCTTCTCCCTGCCAGCTCCGGCTTGTGCTTGCCGGAAAATTTTGGTAAGTTGCCGGCTCTTCCAAGTCCAATTTATCCATGTAATTGTTGCCTTGTGTTGAGTGGATTTTCTGCTTTTGAATTGCCCTTTTTACTGTCCGAAATGGAAGAAATTTAGGTGAAATTGTGTTGGAAGGTGGGATGAATTTTGGTAGCTTTAAGCTATGTTTTTAAGTGTGGTTTAATTTGAGAAATCCCGTGAGATTAGGTATTGTTTTGCCAATTTTGGAAGCTGAAGTTACTGTTTACGGTACTGTTCACGGGCACTGTTCACACACCGAGGGTCAACAAGTAACGGGGATTTAAATGTTTAGTTTGTGATATAAGAACAATTTGGAGATGTTTGGTTATGTGGACATTGATAGAAATAGTACCGTGATTAGGGGGTAGTGCTAAATATGATTTCACTGTGAATTTGTGGTAGTGCGGTATTAACTCTTGGGTATTTTGATTAGGTTCCTGATCGTTCTGTCAGTTAGCACTGAGATCGAGTCTTCGGTTTTATGCAAGTGAGGTAAGTAAAATTATGGTAAAGCCCTTTGATTTTAAAGCATGTTTTAAATTATTTTTGAGATGGTGGCAAGGTTTAAATTGATTTTATCAGTATCTGAGTGTGATTAAACTGAAATGAAAATTGTGATGATTTTTATGAAAATTATTATTTTCTGGAATTGAGCATGATTGGAATGAAAGTGGGAATTTCATTGTTTTTTTGGAATTGAGCATGATTGGAATGAAATTGAGAGTTTCATTGTTTTTCTGGAGTTGAGCATGCCCACGTGAAATTGTTTTTCACTTGCATTGAGTAGAGCATGCCTATTTGGAATTGACTAAACTGTTTTGATGAATTGAGAGTTTTGTAAATTCTGAGTTTTTCTGTTAAATCCATGCTCACATGGAAATTTTCCGGGTTATTTCTGGAATTTGGGATTTCGATTGTGAATTACGAATTTCTTTTGTAAATCTTGCATGGTTTTGTCTCTGATATGGTCATGATTTTCGATCCCCGCTAGTGGGAGTAACGCTAGCACATGTCGACATGTTTACTGATATGATCGATTTATTCTGACGCCTGCCACTGGGCGAACACATTGGTAAATTCCGACGCCTGCCAATGGGCGAACACATTGGTAAATTCTGACGCCTGCCAGTGGGTGTTAAATGCTGGCCATGACTTATAGATGAGACTACTACTAAATCTGATTTTGCGAACACATTGGTAAATTCTGACGCCTGCCAGTGGATGTTAAACGCTGGCCATGACTTATAGATGAGACTACTACTGAATCTAATTTTGCATTAATGGTTTGCCATGGAACGCTTTGTTATTGAACTGAATCTGATTTTGCATTAACGGTTTGCCATTGAACGTTTTGCCATTGAATGTTATCTGATTCCGTTTTAACGAGTTGTCATTGAAAGTTCTGATATGCTTACATGGTTTATCTGGCATGCTTACATTTTTACCCAAGGGCTATCCATATTTACTTACTGGGTTATCTCATAGTGTTCCTTGTCCACCATTTCAAGAAGCGAAACTGAGGATGGGGAAACCAAGGGGAGTGACGAGTTATAAGGCTAGCCATTTCGAGATTGATATAGATTTAGAAATAAATCACGCTCTTGTAAGCTAGAGTGTATTTGGAGATTTTATGATATCAGAGCAGATTTCAAAATTTTATCTTGAGATTTTGTGGTATCAGATTGTGAATTGGATAGGTTTCGAGCCTTGTGCATTCGTGGGACCCGTTCACGAGTGCACGGCGTCTGCCACGTCCCCGGATTTGGGTTCTGGGGTGTGACACTCTCAGAGCAGGTTTTTATGGAACAACCTTCAGGCTTTATTGACAAACAATACCCTTCACATGTTTGTCACCTTCGAAAAGCACTTCATGGCTTAAAACAAGCTCCTTGAGCTTGGTTTGACCGCTTGAGTATATTTTTATTAAAACTTGGCTTTTCTTGTAGCACTGCAAATCCATCACTATTTACCTACCATAAACACCAAGGTACGCTTCTTCTACTTATCTATGTTGATGATATGATCTTAACTGGAAGCAATTTAAACCTTGTTGAATGGTGTATTAGTGAACCATCAAGAGAACTTGTTATCAAGGACCTTGGGAACTTACACTATTTTCTTAGAATTGAAGTGCATGCTAACAAGTCAGGACTTTTTCTTTGTCAATCTAAATATGCCCGTGAGTTACTTCAGAAGGCTCAAATGGTAAGGTGTAAACCCATCTCTACACCTGTGGCCATAAAGACTCATTCATCTTCCTTAAAAGCTAGTGATTTCCAAAATCCCACCTTTTATCGAAGAATCGTTGGAGGTTTATAGTATCTTACCTTTACTAGACCTGATCTTTCCTTTGCTGGAAATCATGTCTCACAGTTCATGCATGCCCCTACTCTGGATCATTTTCAATTAGTTAAACGTATTTTACAATATCTAGGTGGCACACTTGATTATGGAATGCGTATTTCTAATCAAAACACACTAGAATTATATGCTTTCTTAGATGCAGATTGGGCTGGTTGTCCACTAACCAGAAGGTCTACTACTGGCTTTTGCACTCTTTTGGGAAGTAACTGCATTTCTTAGTGTGTTAAAAAGCAACCTCTACTATAGCAAGATCAAGCACAGAAGCTGAATATCGTTTTATGGCATCTAAAGCAGTTGAACTCACTTGGCTTGCTAGGCTCTTTATTGATATTGGTTTGCCACTCTCTAACCCTCCTATTCTTCATTGTGATAACTTAAGTGCCCTTTACATGACTGTTAATCCCGTTTTCCATGCTAGAACTAAACATATTGAAATAGATTATCATTTTGTTAGAGAAAAGGTTGCTTTAGGAAATCTGATCACTCGTTTTGTTAAGTTGGAATCACAATTAGCATATCTATTTACTAAACATTTACCTAGAAATTGCTTCAAACAGTTATGTGTCAAACTTGGCCTCTGCTTTATGCCACAGCCTAGTTTGAGGGGGAGTATTGGAGAACAAACCAAGTGCAGCAATCAAGCAAATCCAGGCTGGAAGATTGAAGAGATTCAAGGACATAAGCATCAGGAGAAAATCAAGGAGAGCAAATCAGGGAAGAAATCATTCAAGTCAGCAACGGTAAAGAAGTTAGTCGAGCTCCTAAAAATGAGGGAAATATGGAGACTAACAGAGTAATTCCAAAGAGAATTCAAACTGAAACAAAAGGAAAGAATCCCATAATAATTCCAATATGACTGTTGGCCATTAAATATATTCTGCATTCTTTGTATCTGGTATCTGGTGTTGATAGCAATGATTCCTAAAATCATGCCACAATGTAAGGTGCTGTAAACTATTATAAATAGTGGAAATATATCTTTCTCTCCTCACCTCGAGAGAAACTTTCATTGATTTTGGTTCTATAAACGTTTTTAGCTTTAACTTGGTATCAGTATCACCCAAAAAAATTTATTGATGTCAATAATCTAAATAATTTAATTGTAATCTAATTCTTATAAAAATAAAAAATTTAAAATTTGAATTATATGACATGTGAATAGAATGAATTAAAGACTATATTGGAGTTTATGCATAGATAAAACAACCCACGAACGGTTGCTTCTTCTTGGAACTTTAGTTTCCATTGTTGTCTTTCTTTTAATTTCTAGACTCTTATTTTTAATAAATTTCTAGACTCTACTTTTAGTATTTTGTGTACTGGTTTATGTGATTAAAGTTCTTTTAAGTCCACATTGTATCTTAGAGATAACATTTCTTATGAATAAGTAAAAAAGGTTCTTAAAATTGCCTCGCAAACAACAATTATATCTATAACTTTTGTCCTTTATGATTACTAGCATTGTGTTGAAGCTTTGACTTAGTATCAACATCACCCAAAAAATTTCATTAATGTTAACTATCTAAATAACACAGTAATAATTTCATTCTCATGAAAGTAAGAAATTTAAAATTTGAGTCATATGATATATGAGTGAAATAAATTAAAGGATATATAGAAAAGAATTACTTTTCATTATATAACTTAAGATAAAATAAAAAATTCATTGATGAATTGCTTTGAAATTTTGTAAGAACAAAAAGTGTTTGTTTGGACGGTATAAAAACTTGCAGTGGAATTATAAAATTACTAGAGTATTTTTAATGAATTAAGGTTTCTATCTTGGCTTTTTTGATATTTTTTGTTAAGATTTACTCTTATCAAAGAAAGATGACAACTTAAACGTGATATCGGTTGAACTCAAATAAGTTGTCATGCTTGCTATAGCCGTTGAAGGCATGGTTGGGAACAAGGTCCCTAGCTTAACTTTTTTTGCCCAAACTAATTTATTTTTTGTTTAGATGAATTATGCTAGCTAGAATGTAGTTTAATTGTTAAATCTCAAGATTGGGTTTGGTTGTGATATTCATATAGGCATTGGATTATTTAACTTTACATTTGCATGCATTTTATGAGTGTAATACCTCTGACGTATTATCCCATTCTCTAACATATTATCTTATTTGGATTAGTCTTGTAACCCTTATGATTTTCATCCATCAATAAAATTATATTTCTCATAAAAAAAATTATGTTTGGGTGCATATTGCATAAATAAAGTAATTTACAAAAGGCAATTTAAAATTGCATCTTTGCCAAATCCAAATGCAAACAATAATAGCTTTAGATTGTTGAAGAATTTTCAAAATAGTTTCAAGATTTGCGTTTGAACCACAAAAAGTTTGTTTAAAGCAATTGCACAAAATGTAATTAAGAAAGTATAACTTTGGTTTGAATCATATAATTACAATTTGAACTATTTAGGTAAAATCAAAATTCAAAAAGTACAATTTTGATTCGAGCCACATTTATTTAATTCGAACCATTTACGTTAAAAATAAAAAATAGAATTCTGATAAATTTCTCAAAGATTAGTGGATAATGTTGGAAGGCAAGGAAACGCGTGAGTTGGAATTCAATTCAAATCAAACCAAATGACTTTTGAAAGATTTTCCAATGGATAAAATTGAAAAGAAGCGTCTGTTCCCAACAGACATCTTGCATCTATAAATATGGAGTTATCTCTTCTTCTTTTAAATCTCTTGAACCCAAAAACAAATCCCTACTATTATCTAAATAAAATAGTCTCTTTTTGTGTTGCAATTGTTGTAGAAACCCTATACAAAAACTATTGTTTTGTCGCTTTCCAAAAGACAATTCAGTGGTTGATCTTGCTAGTGCAAAGGCAAGATTAACAAGGTGCTTCATTGTATCCTATGAGCATTTCGGGTTACCTCTTTTTCATACCAAATCTAGTGAGAGTGAAATTAGCCTAAAAGAAAGTGACATTTGCAGCATGCCTTGAAGCCAATAATCTATTTTCTAACCCCCAATCTCTGACATAGATTTCACCTAAATCACCGAAATTGTAGATGAACAAGAACTAGATATATTGGCTAATTAATTCAGGGACAGCTAGGAAGAAAAAGACACTTCATTCCGCTCAAACTCTCTTGAAGAATGATGAGATATTGCCCAGTTCGAGATATTGCAAGTTGATGCCAATTAAAAGGGAGGTTGGGGGCGTCTTTCTCTCTAAGATGCTTAGCTAGTATCAGGACAAAAAGAAGGGTGCAAAATGACTATACAAAGTGATCAATTATTGAACCACAGCTGCATATTATAACATACAAAAGAAGTCATTTTTTGATGGACATAACAAAGGAGTCTTAGTGGAAGACCGTACCATTAAAGGAAGAACCATGAATTACCATTCACCAGTTACAATTGGACACACGACCTGAAATGCACGTCTCAAACGTGGGAAGGTTGGGTCTCCGTTGTGGGCAATTGCGACAAAGAGACATATCTGTTTGTGTGCGTATATTACTTTGTTTTTACTGTTGGAGTTCATAAAGTCTTTTTTTAATTCATTGATAGATTGAGAGTTTGATGATAACATCATTTAAAATTATAATTTGTGGTAAAGATTTTGTCATAATAGTCAAATATGTAATTTAATTGAAGAATGAATCAATTAATTCATGAATTAAGAAATAGTAAATTTAATTAAGCAAGTGGATCCATTATATTCAATGAAATGTCATCTCATTAAAAAAATTTTCAAATATACAATTTTAGTTTTCATATTAGTATTAAAAATGAGGAGGGATAAATTTACATATAAGTTTTACATATTATATTTACATAAAATTTTAACCAGTCATCCCTTAATTTTTAATGATTGGAATTTATCATAATGTTTTAAATAAAAAACAATTATTTTTAATAAATGTGAATTAATCTTAACTATTAAAAATAAATACATGAATAATTGAGATTTTGTACAAAAACGAAGTATAAAATTTATATGTAAATAAATCCTTACTCATTAAAAATTAAAGCAAATAAAATTTTTAACAAATAAAAATATCACATTAGTACTTAATTAACAAAGGGATTAAAAAGGTTTAAAAAGGTTAAAAATAATTTAGACACTAAAAGTGGATATCTTAAGTATAAGAACAAAAAAAGGACGTTTTCTCCTAAAGTGTAATGACTAAGGAACTGTTTGATATAATGGTTAAAATTTAGGGAATAACGAATACTATGTAGCAAATAACAGATACTATGTAGCAAATAATAAATAGCAGGTAGCAAATAATAGATAGCGGATAGCGAATAATAAGTATCAATTAGTGGATAGCATATGACTGTTAGTGAATAGCGGGTGGTGGATAGCTAAAAATAAGAAGCAGATTGTAAATAACGAATTCAATTAATATAACTAGTTGATTATACAATAATTAGCAATTTTTATTCAAAATGAAATGACTAATAAAAACATGTTTAAAACAATTAATTGTATTTTTTATATTTTTTTTATTAATATTATTAATTTTATCAAAATAATAAAAATATAAAAAATAAATTATAATAATTTAATCATA